CACACACATGCATCCTGAAAATCCTTGCCGTGCCTCCCCCTTAGATTTTTAGAAATTTCACTTAATCATTAAGCCACACATTCACACACATGCACTTATTCTTTCATCATTCAACCACATTCCAATTCACCACAAAACAATCACACAAATCAGCCAACACATGCACCAAAACATCCATGCCGTGCATCCCTTCCACTTTCCAGCTTTCCCTTGCATTTCCACCACTCATTCTTCATCATTTCAGCCACCTACATGCATTATTTATCTAACTCTTCATCATGCATCCAGAAAATGAGCAAGAAAGCTTCCCAAACACATGCATACACACACCATTTCCACCAAACACATGCAAGTCCAACATAAAAAACTGTCCATGCCGTGCATCCCTTCCACTTTCCAGCTTTCCTAGCTGTTTTCCACCACATTCAAGCACATGCATGCTTAAACAAACAGCCATATGTTCCCTCCACTACTCCTATAAATACCCTAGCATTCATTCATTCATTCATCATCTCATTCACAACACAACACTCCTCAAAATCATCCATTCTTCTTCCTAGCCGTGAGTCTCCCTTAGAATCAAAAACCATTCTTCCAATTCCACCACTCCTCATCCATTTCCATAATCCCCCAATCCATTCAACACACCAACAACATCCCTTAGTCCTTGTGCCACAATAAAGAGGAAGATAAGAGGGCCTAAACGTTCATACAATTCAAGATTGAGTTGTTGGAATGTTTAGGCGTTTCTTTGATTTCAATGTTTAATTTCAATTCTCTTTGTTTTGTAATATGAGGAACTAAACCCTTTTTGGCTAGGGGTGATTTCAATACCATGATTATTTATGTAATATGAATTGATGAATTTCGGTTATGAACTCTTGATTCGTGAATGCAATTGGCTTAACTATTTGATGATTAACTTATTTGTGTTTGTTGATTGAGGGTCGACACTTAATTAGCATGCATGAGTATGTGGCTAAAGTTTAAGAAGGTTTCACATAATCGTTACTAACTTATACTTGTAAGTAGTGAAGGTCGCTAGTCACGATCGCGTTAAGTTTAATTCTTAGCATGAGTAACATGATGTCATAGTTGCAAATGCTTTGTCAATGCTTATGGTTTTCATTATTCTTAATGATCTTCAATTGTATCTCTATTATGATGACATGTAGGGAACTTTTGAGAATGTTTTGGGTTGTCGAATGATGCCATCCAATCCAATACTATAAGGAAAATCTGAGGGTTAACTAGTGATGTCACGGTTAATTTGGGGCATTGTCGTTCATAATTCAATGAAGGAATAACTGGAAATTGATTCATATGCATAAATATCATGTGTGGAGAAAGAACCTCTAGCTAATTCACCAACCATCTAATTTCACAACACTTGTTTACAATCTGTCCATTTTTGCATTTTGTTTGTTTATTTCAATTTCGTCAAAACTAAAACCCCCTTTTTTTATTTCCTTGTTCCCAAGTGTCTTAAATCTGTTTTAATTTAGTTTTTATGTTTTTAAGTCAATTTAGAAGGTTTTAGCAAGCCCTCCTAATCCCCGGTCTAGAACGATCCCTCACTTATCCATTCTACTACAATTGTCAAACGAGGGTTTAATTTGAGTGTCAAGTAATTATCACATCATACAACCCATTCAATCACATAATACTCACTAGAAGCTTACCTGAGTCTCCTCAGCATCACACAATGGAATTCACAACTATAACAATGCAATATTTAAAATGTAACTTATTTACGACATGGCAAGCAAAGCATTATTCCATATAAAAAACGTTTCTAGAAACCGTATATGTATGTGTGTGTGTGTGTGTGTGTGTGTGTCTATATATATATAGAAAACAAATGCCCACTTACTGATAAGTAGCAGGATCGTAGCCCCCTAGCTTTGCTTGTCCACACTCGTCCTTGGGGTACGTCTCATCTAAATGCGATACAACTATTTTTACATTAATTAATTAGCACATATACGAAATCCAGAAATAACTCCTTGTAGTTTGTTCAAATGTAAGGTTTGAATATACGAACGTGATTTACTTGATGATACGAACTCACACAAATTTTTAGAAAAAATTTTGGACATCGGACGCGCCCTCACGCGCAGGCACGTGCACGACACACTAACGGAAACCCTAACGGCGTTAGGAATATTCCGTCAAAATAGGTGGAACATTCCATTAAATGGTAACAGCGTTACCTAATGCCATTAGAATATTCCGTTAAAGTTAATGGAATATACCTTCTTCTTCTCTGGTCACCCGTTAGTCTCCGCCGGCCGCTGTCTGCACTAGTCGGTTTCTAGAAAATTTTCAAAGCTTTATATCTACTTCATTTCTTAACCAAAATCCATGAAATTTATATGGATTTGAAGGTCTCGAAGAGTAGAACACGTTCGTACCTATTGGAAGTCCAAAATCCAATGAAAAACGATCGGAAAATTCCTTGGAAAATCCGGCAAACTCTACAACTCTTCGAACTCACCTATTTCGACTCCACTGCACTCCAAATCTACTCTAAAGTGCTAGGGCAGTTGCATAGACACCATCTCGAGACTGAAAACCTTGTAAATCATATGTAATAGTGGCGAAGCAACCTAGCTCCTCATCGAAGCTTCTGGCTTCCGAGCTAAAACTCACTAAAACATAAAACTAAGGGTATGGTGGTAATCGTGAAGTCGAGAGGAGAATGGTGATGGTTTCCAAAAGTTCGATCTATGTGAGTTTGATGATGACTGTGTGTGGGGTGTCTTGGGTGTGCAGAGGGAGAAGAGTCAAGAAGGAGAGAGAGGGAAGAGTGCAGGTGTGTGTGCGTACTTGATTGGGTAGAAGAAGAAAATTATATTTTCTGATTGGGCTACCATGAGACAGAAAGAGTTATATGTGTAATTGGCCCAAAGAAAAATAAAAACAAACTACTTGATTGGGCCAAAGAAAAAAACCCATCTAATTAGTTCAAAAATTACTCGTTACGCACTTAAATAATCGTAACTTTTTCGTTACGACTCCATTTCGGTTCTAACTCGCTTCAATGCACTCATGACATCAAGTATGATTTAATTACGACAGCGAGAAAGATAATTTAAATCTCACACATACATCCACGTCACTTAGCCAACGAGGGCATATTCGTCATTTTAACACACTCGGGGAGAAAATTATATAATAAATTGGGACAGGTCGCCACATCCAATCTATAGGCAACTGTACCAATCCTCTCCATAATTTGGTAGGGGCTAACATATCAAGGACTCAACTTCCCTCATTTACCAAATCGAACCACACCCTTCTAGGGAGACAACTTTAAGAAGACAAAGTCATCGATCTTATACTCACTGTCCCTGGAATGTCGGTCCGTAATGCTTTTCTATCGATCCTGAGCTGCCTTCAGGTTTCTCTTAATCAGCTGGATGTTAGTATTAGTAGTGTCAACAATTTCTGGCCCTACTAACACCCATTCATCGACCTTTGTCCAACACAATGGCGTTCGGCACGCCTTCCCATATAGTGCCTCAAACGATGCTACACCAATACTGGAGTGGTAACTGTTGTTGTAGGCAAACTCAGCCAATGGCAAATAACTATCCCAACTACCCTTCCATTGGAGAATAGACACTCTCAACATGTCCTCTAAGGACTTAGAATAGAGGCGTACAATCCCGGCGTCAAGGCACTTTTGCATTGGCATCTTTGAGTCCTCTCAGTGTAGGACCCATTCCTTTGCTCATTGAATTTTGTGTTATTCCTTTTTATTGTCTAGGATTAGTTGTATGCTCTGAACACGTTCCTCAGCTGCATATTAATTATATTTAAATTTATAAGTCTTATTTATTTCTTGTTCTCATGCATTCTAATATGGCTTCGTCACTTTCAGGTGTGGACCAGCACGAGCCTACCCTGGTGTTAGGGGAATATCAGGGTCGGGCGTGTCCGGCCATGGCTGGCCACAAAATTGGTATGAATTGAATCCTTGTCTCTCTAGCTTCATTTTGGGTATTTGTATGTTGAAAACGTTTGAGAGTTGGCCTTGACCGGAGATGGGGAAAATTTCCCAATTTCGACTTCCTTCTTTATTTGGCTCCGGTGGGGCAACCAATGAACTCAAATGGGACGGCAAGTGGCTGGAAAATCTCTGCAACTTGTGGCCTAGTCATCAGGAAATCGAGGGAGGTCTCCCCAAGCTATTTTCTGTCCTAAAACCCGTCCAAAACACAACATGCTCAAATTTCGAAGAAACGAACAGTTCCACCACATTTAGAAGCCTAGAAATTGACGGAACAGCAAGAATCTCACCTAAGATAAAAAGCTAGAGGGTTGAAGCTCACGGGTTTGATGGCAGTTCACTACCCATTGCTTTGATGATGCATACCAAGGTATAGACAAGTTCCTCTTGCCTCAAAGATGCCAAATATATGATTTTCAAGTTTGATGGATGAGAGAGTGAAGGTGAGAGCAAGGATAAAGCTCTCGGCTTAGAAAAAAAGAGTGAGTGTGTTCGAGACTTTTCAGGGAATGGGAAGGGAGGTCACGGGGAAGAAGAGAGAAGGAGAGGAGAGTGAGGAGAGAATGAGAGAAAGGGTTTAGGTAAAAGAGAGAGAAGGAGATGGGGTGCTGCAACGTGGCAGGCATTGAGAGGAGGAGAATTTGAAAAATAGATCTGAATTGGGTCAAAAGTGAGGGGCAAAAATGTAAATTCATAATTCTAGTAAATGAAAATACAATTATTTAGGGTGGGGTTTAACAAATATACTTTGGTGGAAATAAGCCATACTTTGAGAAATTGCACAATACCATATATGATCTTCTCCAAAATAATGTAAACAAAAAATGGAATCCAAAAATAAAGAGGCCTTAACACTGTAGATGTGTCACTTTTACTGTCCTGCACAATGAGTAACCAAACACCACCAATAGGCATAGTAAAATCAGTACAAAACTTTACACGCATTGCAAGTGAAGGAGAAGATATTCAGTAGAAAAATAGAAAATTGAGAAAATAGTAGCAAACATTTATTGAGACATATACTATCAAAGAATAAAACAATTGACATATCCACTACAACCATTCTAGAAAGACATAGACAAACAGTTACAAAACCATCGTAACCAATCAGGAAAATATTCTTCATAAATAAACCACACCTTGTTCTTGTAAATCAAGTTCTTCATAAATAAACCACACCTTGTTCTTGTAAATCAAGAACCCCTTCTTGGTAACCGACGAATGACAGTATCATCAAACGTATTTGGTCACATATCTTTACTATGAGTAATATATATTGTTTTTTGAGGAAGAAGACGTCCATCATTTTCCCACCTAAACAAAAGAGAAACACTAATCATCCCCTTCTATTAAAAAAATGTTTTTGATATTTGTGGAAATCAAATTATACCTGTGAATTGTGATCCCTCGTGCTGACCGAAAAATATATCCACCCTCCTTGGTTTAGCCTCCGCGGGCGTCATGAGAAGTAACTGCAAAAGGGACAAAATGGAATTGGATTTCGTTGGATTCGATTATTCCTGAAATGGGGGTTGCGTTGGATTTGATTATTCCTGAATGGGAAAACTATGGGTGGAGAAATTGCATTGGGAGAATTGGATTCTTGTTCTGAGATTTGAATTGCTTTGGAAAGTGAATGTTCAAAAGAAGTGAAGGGGATTTGACAAATTGAGTGTTTGGGGGACTATCCGTGGATGAAATATGAAACCGCAGCGTCCGGGATCCGAAGACGTGTTGGATAAATTTATGTATTTAGCAAGAAAAATAATTTATTTTTACGATAATGTCAGGGAGATCAAATTTTTTAATCACATTTAGACAACAAATGATGTGTCACTAATAAGAACGAAACATGTTAATCGAAACTTATTAATAATCTAATTATCAATAACCACATTATTTGATTTACAAAAATTAATTTAAAAATTTGGTCATCCTATCATTCCCCTTTAAATAAGCACAGTTTAATAGTCAAGCCAGTTTTAATTTCGAATAAAGTAAACTAGTAAACAAATTATACAGAACCAACATAATTCATACTCTGATTCTAGATAGGAAGTTGCGTCCCCTCAACACAGTGAACTAGTAAACAGTATACTATGTTTATTCTTAATTTCTCAATTATACAATTTTCCTGTCTTGAAACATGAACATCAAGTGGCCAGGTACAAGTCTAGATTTTGATACAGTAGAAGTGATTGCATTAAAAAAAAACCATGGGCGTACAGAGATCGAACACGAAGAACGAATACAATAACCAAGAAATAAAGCCTTGTTTGATGGCATTTTTTTTTTTTTACTTTTAAGTATAAGCTGAGCTAGATAATTAAGCTGTGGCTGTCTTAGGGTGAGGGAAAAGGCGGACGGGGAGTCCCTTGGCGGGCATGGGCAGTGGGTCAACTACGATCTGCTCGTCGGGAAGAACTTTTTCCCATTTGAACCTCTTCACCAAATTGTGCATGAACACTAGGATTTCCAATCGGGCGTACTCTTTGCCGGGGCACATCCTAGGACCTCCTCCGAAGGGTACAAACGTGTATGGTGCTGGACCATTTCCTTCGAATCTTGTAGGGTCGAATTTGAATGGTTCCGGGAAGTAAGCTTCGTTCTTGTGTGTTGAATTTGCACTCCAATACAACTACAATACACCACACCAAGTTAAATATTAAATTTCAGTCCAGATCTAATAAACAACAGTTATTGAATGAAAAAAAAAAAAAAAAGGAAAAAAGGTTATATGTTGTAAATGTAGGAAAAGGATCCAGCTTCCTTTTCTTAGGGATCATAAGGATTCCGTGATTTCATCTGTTCATTGTATATTGTGCAGTTAGTTTTCGTTAAGTACTATTCATATTTAATTTTAAATTTTAAATTTTGAAATGATTTCTGACCGCACGATGTACGATGAACGGATGAGATCACGGATGCCTAGGATCCATAGGAAAAAGATCCAGCAAGGGTCATTTTCTGTAAATGTATACCTTCCAGCCTTTTGGAATGGTGAAACCATTGAAGACAAAGTCAGACATGGCTTCCCTGAAAGCTCCTTGAAGAGGTGGAGCCAATCTGAGAACTTCCTGAGCTACGTTCCATGAGTATTTCATCTTCTGTAGGTCATCCCAGTTCAACAACTCCCCTGGTGCTTTTGAGCTTAGGACCTCCATTTGCTCTGTTCATTATATTAGTTAATTGATATTTTCATCGTTAGTAATCCGCGCCAGATAAAATCGAACAAATATACTATTATTATTAATTATTGAAATCAACGAGGGTAAATAGGTAATTTCAGTATGGGAACAAGCCCAACCAACCTTATTTGACCAATCAGGTCTATTAAATTTTCACTTTTCAATAAATAAATTAAGAGAGTTTTAACGAAAAGCCTACGATACTGTTCATTTTAATGAAAAACCACAGTTTTATACTAAAGAGTCAAACATAGTACTATTTATTTTACCTTTTATTTTGTCCTTATAGTTAAAACTCAAAGTTTTCAAACTCTTTTCATTAGTTTTCCTATAAATTAATTGACGAATGGTCCTACATTTCTGAAAGAGACCTACATAAATTTTTTTTTACATGCGGGTAATAGGGTAAGGTGTTATCCAAGATTCCTATGTGCTAACAACAAAATATTGCGTCAGAAAATACAACACAAAGGTTGGTGAGTGTGAATGTACAATTTAGTGTAGGGTTGATCTGCTAGAGCTCAATTTTAACCGGCAGGCCTTAATAATTATTAATTTATTAGATAAGAAATGTCTATATCATTAATTTTACCATAGACAGAAAGGAAAAAAAAAAAAAAAACTAATTACATAAGGTTAGGGGGTTAATCTATAATTACCCTTGTAGACTTGGTCATAAATGTGAGGAAGCTCAGCAAGATACTTGACAATAAAAGTGCAGGTAGCGCTAGCAGTGTCATGGCCACCTATCAGCAGCCCCAAAATCTTATCCGCGATATCGTGTTCCTTCATGTGACTTCCGTGCTCGTCGCACAACAACAACATGTGAGACAATATGTCTTGCGTTGGCGACGCTTTGCCCTCCGCCAAGTCTATCTTCCTCTGCTTGATGATCTTCGCCAGCTCCTCCCTGATGAAGTTGGACGCCTTGATCGCTTTGTAAAACGGAGTCCCCGGGAAATCCAGAGGCATCGATATGATTCCCGAGGCCAAAACTGCGAACGGATCGCCTAGCTTGGCGATCTCAACCGAGTCCTCCAGGCTCACAAACAACCGTGCAGCAAGCCAAAAGGTGTAGCTGTTTGTTCAAACATAGATATATAAGATATCCATATATGATCAGAATCAATTTTCTAATAATAAAATAGTAGACGGGGACTTACTTCTTGGCGAGGGGAAAGACTTCAACTTCCTTCTTGTTTTCCCAGCCCTCAGCGAAGTGGCGTCGGGCGACGGTATCCATGATGCCGATGTATCGCTGGAGAGCCTCGGGCTTCATGAAGTTGGGAAGCATCTTTCTCATCTTCTTGGCCTCCTCCTTGGCAGAAGTCTCCAAAGAAGAAGGGAAGACCTTGTTGACGGAGCTGGGCCACCATGCAGTGACGAGCTTGTTCTCGTTGGAGAACAAGAACTTGTTGCAGGCTGCACCGCAGAAGATGGCGGCCTTCTCGCCCATGAGTGAGGTCTTGAACACTTCGGAGGAGTACTTGGTCATACGGTCGAAGATGAATTTCTCCGGGTGACCTTTCCATCCTGTGGCTAGGAACTGGTAGGTCTCGCCGATCACTGGGTAGCCAACTTTGCCAGGCGGCAGGTTGGTGCCGACGAACTGAGCTCTGTGCCGGTAAAAGAGCACGGAGAGAGACAGAGTGATGAAGGAGACAAACCCTAAGAGGAGGGTCAGATAGAAGTGCTCCATTTTGTTGTTGGTTAAGAAGTGAGGAACGTGCCTTGAGTTTGTTTGTTTGATGGAAGTGGATGTGTTGTGAGCCGTTTATATAGGCAGATTTTGTGTAATGTGCGAATGGGTTGGAGAGAAAGAGAGTGTGTCCTATATCAAAGTCAAATTAAGCTGGCTCTTACTTGTTGAATTATGTTTTGGTGAGCTAGCTAAAAGGCATTGAGGCATGACGGTAAATGTGATGTCACACTGCCAATTATTATTATTTTATTTTGTTGTGCCAAAAGGAGCAAGAACAAGTCCACTCACAATTGCACACCTATATGCGTGTATACTTAGTTCCTAATTTAATATGTCAACATGTCTTTATCCGTTTTTCAATCATTTTTCTTTTGTACACCAAACAAGCAAGAGAATAAATATGTGTGTGTGTGTGTGTGTGTGTGTATGCTAGGGTTTGTTGTTTCATGTATGTTTTGGAGCTTTTAGAGTATAACTGTACCAACCTTTTGCCTTATGAGTAATTTGCCGAATTCCCTTGTATACTGGCAATCTACATTTCATCGATGATTCTATCAGTTTAGCGGAAAAATCATCATTTTCAAAACAAAATTGCACTATTTCTCTCTTCTTTCTCACTCATTGATTCTCACCTCATATTCAAATTCGGACCTTTTATCATCCACTTCAATGGCTGCCAACACAAACACTGAATTTGACCCTTCTTTTTGGAGTCTCTACCGGACCCTCATATATTTTCTTTATCTATCTTGTCATCAATACAATCTTCATCCTCTTCATCAATCTTGTTCTCTACCCAAGCCGTGCCCTTTGGGCAAGTTGCCAAGCCGGTTTGTGAAGGCATGCTTGACGTTGTTCGGGAGCTTAAGCTTGCCATTGAGCATGATGGCTCCCATCAGAACTATATTTACTTGATTTCTTCTAATTAATCTCCAAATTATACATTAATGCATAAGGGTAATTTGGAAGGTTACTTGATTTCGCGGTATGTCTTTGCATTGAAATCAATGAGAGTGAAGAGAAAGAGAGGGTTTGAGAGGGTCTTGAGTGACGAGTTGTATTGAATTCGGTGTTGACTCAACTTTGGTAGTCAATTTATTTTATTTTTCAAGAGATTTGAAGATATTTAAAGAAGATATTTCAGAATCAATCTAATACTGAATATGGGTTGTCGCATCTCGAGATAATGAATTCGACGGTTGAATTTAATCGGAGAAAACAACGGACAAAACCTCATTCTCTGCGCACTAACTTAGACAATCGTCATTAGTACAATATTGAAAGCACAATTCGCGAGATAATGCGCCCGAATACAAAACGACTCAACACTCACGAAGTTTTCAAGGACACAGTAGAATGCCACCCGTAAGAAGAAACAAAATGGTACTTATTCCGACTTACTCCAAAATGTATGGTCTTTGGATAACTATCAATCCTCAAGGGGAACAAGTAATTTTAGATACAACTTAGGGGCATTTGTGGGACCATGAATTTCCAAGGTCGGAGGCAAATCAAAATACGCATACCTCAGAAGTTTGGTCATGGACTCAACAACCTCTGCTACAGATCTGACTAAACGAAACAACAATGCCACCATCATCATGTTCCATAATTAGTGGGCAAAATCCAATGACTTCGCTGAGATTGACATTGCTTGTTTCGCAAGATACGCAAATCTAATCCAGTAAGGAATCAACTGGTTTTCTATAATCCTGGAGTCCTTACAATCTAAGGATTGACCTACATCTTAAGGAATCACACTCCTAAGGAAATGCAGTATCGACTTCCTAAATATCCTTCTAGGATTCTTCTGGTTTAATAAGGATTCTACTATCCTAAAAGGTCTTTTCCTTGATTGGTGTAA